AGCTGAGGAGAGAGTGGGAGGTGTTGAGTATCATTACCCATCCCCCTCACTGTCATAGGCTTCTGTATGTGTGTGTGTGACGTGTGTGTATGTGTTTGTAGGTTTTGGTACCACTGCTGAGTGTGTGTGGGTGGTTAGGTGTAATGGTGCTGGTGGTTGTACTGACTGAGGGGGGTGGGACAATAATTATTTTCCAAGAACAAAATGTAATGAGCTGAAAAGTGACAATGTTGCCATGACAACAAACAGATGCATATACAATCCGCAGCTATGCTTTATTGTCATTTTTCAGTGTGTGTGTGTGAGAGGATTACTTCGATGAATCTGGAACAGCCTGTCTGTAGTTACTAGGCAGATATTGTCCCTGCACACACACACACACACACACACACACACACACACACACACACACACACACACACACACACACACACACACACACACACACACACACACACACACACACACACACACACACACACACACACACACACACACACACACACACACACACACACACACACACACACACACACACACAGGCACAGCTTGCCTGTGTCTGGCGTTGGGGTGGTGGGACACTGTTGATAAAAGGGGTACTGGTGGAAATGGCAGCTTAACCATTTACATAAGCTGTGTGCGGGGCTTGATAAGCTCCACTCTGAGGCTCACTAAAACCATTGCTTCAAAACTTGATCCCCCACCCAGCTCTGTCCGCATTCAACTCCATGGGCAGCCCCTCATTAAAGGTGTGTGTGTGTTAACATAGGTAAAGAGAAACATTTGAGGAACAGAGGGTGCCTGTCTGCATAATTCTGGGGGGATCAGGGACAGCTTTGTTGTAAATCCATTTCCATTTAACACTGTTTTCGCTGTAATTGTTGAGAATATACTGAATGAAAACAAGAGGTAGGGCACGCTGGAGTCACATAATGTGCTTTAAGTAGCCTGGTGGTATTCTGACTTAACACCAAGAGACATAAAGCAATAGAGAGACAAATAGAGAACAAAAATGGGACCGAATGAATGTGATCTGCTGAATCAGCACCTCCTGACCATTCAGTCCCTCTCTGGTGCTGCTACACAACTCTACCTCTCATGAATGTGTTTCTTGTTATTTCTGACCAGGGAGGAGTTCCCCTAGTTTCCCAGCACACACTCGACTCTTGTTTAATCCCTCTCCTTCTTCCTTTCTCCTCCCTTCTTAGTACATACAAATCTCACCATATGGGTATCTGGACGGTTGTTGGATTATCATTGTTGGTGTGTGTGGCTCTTGTGGAAAGTTGTCCCCAGTTTCGCCGAAATACGCAACAATTTGTGTATGTAGTTGTAAAATAATTGGCAGTTACAAAAGTATGCATGTGGGTTTGTCCTCAGCAGCTGATATATGAAACTCCACGTTGGCTGGATGCCTGCGTTTGGTGAACAAATGTGAACCCTTACATGTGAGCGTGGATGAAAGAGAGAGAGTGTATGTGTGCATGTTTGTGCAGCAGATGTCCTGTGCTCTGCTCTGTTCTCCAGACTGGCTGGTCTTTGTTGCTGCTCCCTCGTGCAGACGGGCCTGGCCACGTGCTTCTCTGTCTGCAAGGACAAACCCCGCCTCCGCCACTGTAATCTGTCAATTGCAGCGGCCAAGTCCCGCCCTTAATAACACCCATAGCCTGACACGGTCTGCCTCGGTCTGCCTCCAGGCTTGGTGACGCTGTTTTACTCACGCATACTTACCATGCTGTCTTTTTTCTCTCTCGTCACCCCCACACTGTCTGAAGCTGTAACTCTCTGTAGCTGTGTCACGAGCATGCTGCATGAACACAATTGAGCAACACACTTCTCTTCTTTCTACATCAACCACTTCTTTCTCTCATTTCCTCTTCAGCTCCTTGTTTTTCTTTCTTCCTCTTCTTCCATAATGGGGCAACAGTCAGCTCTCCTCCTGTAGAAACACCCGGAAACAGGAAGATGGGATTTAGTAAAGGGGGAATACAAGCGAGGAAGAGATCCAGCTGGGAAAAGGTAAAGATAGCCTACTTGGGTTTATGATAGAATAAAGAACCCTTTGTGACTATAACTTTTCTTATTCCCCCACAATGGATGTTTAAAGAACTAATGGAATTCCAGCATGTCTTTCAGTAGTTTCCCTGAAAAACAAGTGTAACCTTTGCTAAAAAAAATAAACAGTCACTCGTAAGTCTTCTATAAACAACCTGCATCGCATACTACATTATACAAACAAACTACACTTTACACACTCCGCTTTAAAGGTCTTAAATGAACAGTCTCAGTTTGCAGTGGTTGTCTCATTTGTAATCCCTTTGACCAAAATGTGTTTATCGTCACACCTGATTAACCTTCACTCCCCTCTCAGCTCCCTCCCCTCCCTGGCAAAAACAGCCAGCATTGCCCTCAGGGCTGCAACTCCCTGCTGCTTTACGTTTAGTGTCAACATTTGTGGAGCTGAGGAGACTTTAATGCTATACAAAGTTCACGGGTTGTTATCGGCAGAGAAAGGCTGGCAGAATCAGTCGACCAGACGGTGTTTGTGCATTTGCCTTTTACTATTACTGTTACAGTAAAGGAAATAGGATATCAATTATAATTTTTAACAACTCAAGTTCATTTTAATATGACCAGCAAATAACTGTTGAATTTAAATTCCCTTTGTAGCAAGTGGCCTTCTCCTCATATTTAAATAGGTACAGTCCAACCCTTTAAACTTGAGTAGTCTACAGGTTTCTTCGGGGTTGTTTTTCCTGCCTCTTCGACCTGTGTTGGGGGGAAGGGATACTGGTGACAGACAGATCATCAGTTACAGAGCTGCTGTTTGACTCATAAAGGACAAACAGACTCTTCGCATTACACATATTGTACCATATAGCACAGTTTAAAGGTCACCTATTGTGCAAAATCCACTTTTTCATGTCTTTTATAAATAAACATGTGTCCTCTGTGTAACGAGATTCTGAAAGTTTCAGGAAAAAAGATTTGCTCACTTTTTGTCCTGATCCATTTATATAAAAACTTATTATGGATTATGGGATGCTACAATGACACTTCAGAGACATGTTTTGTATATATCTGAGACCTATAATATTTTGATGAAAAACAGTATAATAAGGGATCTTTAACATACTTTGAAGTGTGTATCAAAAATATTGCCTGTGCCTAGAGGTCACATCATTTTTACAAATCCTTATAAGGTCCTCCTTAAAAGGTATGTTCATCCAACTTTTAAAATAATAAAATCCCCAAGTGTTGGTGTATACTATTTTTAAAGAATTTATCCAGCTGCTATTTCTTTGGTAGAATGCAGTTCACACCAGTTCATTTTCCCTGGCTAGTCGGGACACTACATTTAAAAAAAAAAAAACATATCCCATTTTTCTTAATAAATAATATTTCTACCAAATAATTTTGGGTCAGACGACACGAAACATGTGCAAAATAAAGCAAAAGTAATCTACATGGCTGGATACCACAATAGATCATCTTGCAGTTTGTTTTGATGCCCCTCGAGGCTTCGATGACCCCCCTCACCTCTCTGTTCTTGGATCCCTCGTAGCTGCTGCTCAGTTTAGCCAAATGAAACTGATATCCCCCCACTTTCCTTGCTCCCATAACAAGATCAACATGTACACAGGCATAGCCATGCTTACATATCTGACTGTGAGGCGTTAACCTTTCTCCACTCGTGCATGCACACATATTTAGACACAGATGACGAAAACAAGTCAGTAAAAAATAAAGAAGGAAGCGTCATGGAGGAAGAGGCGTGTATTCCTGCATATTCCAGTAAAGAGCAGCAGCGCCCTCTACAGGTTCATTGGCTTTGTACTCACTGCCTCTATCTCACATATTGTATTGAATAATATACTGTTTAGATATGGTCTATGAAAAGAGTCCTAAGATAACTTCTGTAATTTAAACAAAGAAGTGAGACCACTACCAAACTGTAGTATGCTAAACTCTTTGAATATACTGAATAGCTATTGTTAATAAACATTTTATATTTTTGAAGTTAGAAGGCTTTGTAACAAGAAAATATACATCACTAATATTCTGAGAATAAGAGGATAGACTCACTGGCTCTATAGGTATTTCAACATAAACCTGTGCATGTAAAGCTAATAAGAAAAACACATTTTTTTGAAGAAACAGGTGGCCATGAATCACTATCATGGTCCAATTTTATTTACTTTTTTATTGGTGCTTGACATAGATACATGTTGCTACTTTAAGCAATTGGGTATCAAAGTTCAGTGTGTAGAAACAGCAGGAATATAGAAAGATCTAATTGAAGCATAATGTTTAGAAAATTAAAAAAAAGCTGTGTACACACATATATTATATGGCCCTTATTTCATGAAAAAAGCGTATTGTGAAATAATATGATATTCAGAGGGGAGTGTGATGTCCCTACTCAGTAACAGCTGAGTCATGTCAATATACAGTGAAAATAACCTCTCATGACCCTAATGTTTTTGTCTTTTCACACACATGCTTTACTCAGTAAAGCGCGCGCACGCACACACACACACACACACCACACACACACACACACACACACACACACACACACACACACACACACACACACACACACACACACACACACACACACACACACACACACACACACACACACACACACACACACACACACACACACACACACACACACACACACACACTAATAGACCTTCACAAAACACACACACAAAGCTGCATAAAGGCAGTCATAACTGTTTGAATAATTAATTGCTAGTGAAATTGTGTGGCTCTAGAGTTTCCATGCTGTCATTGTCCCTGTTTCGGGTCGATGGGTGGCGAGGAAAAAGTTAACTTCTCGTGCCAGTTACTCATCGCGTACCAGCTCCAAAACACCCACCCACACACACCCACCCACACACACGTGTACGCACGCACGCATGCACGCACGCACGCACGCACACACACACACACACACACACACACACACACACACACACACACACACACACACACACACTGGATGGGCATCCATCCCTGTAAAGATGCAGAAACAGAGAGACCACTAAAACTCTTCAGAAGCTTCATTTCCACCTGCGGTAGACACAGGTTCAGTTGGAAGCTGGTGTAAATGTTTTAGGGGTTATAGGACCATGAGAGGAAGATGACTCGGGACAGTCTGATCACCTCTGAGAATGACGGTAGGACCAGATTTCTCTTATTGTTTTTATATATTCATCTTTCGAGGTTGATTATTAGAGGACAGTCATTCTATGTGCATATGGAGATACAGGTCTGATATATTTCTTTGTCATAGATTGTTGCAAATGATCGGCAATTTATGTCAAGTTCATTAGGAATAAATATGACTGATTATTTAAATCAATCAAGGCCCTTTGGATTATTTGCTTGCTATGATAGGTAATCATAACTGTTTTCCATCAACTGTTTTAGTTTCTTATGTTATTTTTATATTTTTTGGAAGAAATGTAAATCTAAACAATTATATATAAAAAAATGTTATGCTTATAGTGTGTTGTGTTGTAGTGTGTTAGCTGCTTTTCCTTTATAGAAAAACATCCATATTTACTTAAAAGGGTGCCTTAATGTCATTCATATGACATACAAGTAAACACAGAACATCAATCATCAATTAAAGGCCAAAAACCGAGCACCTCAAATACATTCATCCTCTACTTTCGTGCATCAGTCAGCTGCATATTTGGGAGTTGGCCTCTTGCCCTCGCCTGTCCCCCCATCCTTGTGGGCATAGCCTCCCGTCTCCCTTCATTAGGCCATTGTTTGTCTCTTTTGTGCACTCTATTGCACACAGCCGTAATGACCCCGCCGCTGGCCACTCGGGTTACAATAAGGACACACATCAAAGGGCCGACTACATAAATATCAGCTCAATTTGTCAGTGGTCCTCTTTGTTTTCCTCTTCATCCCCTTCACTGCAGGACAATAGTGCCAGGTATACAATAAGGTAGGCTGAGCTCGATCAGTGAAAGGGGCAGTGTTGTGTTGAAGATATACAAAAAACCTGACTGGATTTATAAAGCTGAGGTCATCAGAGGAGGAAGGGGTTGTTGTTGTTGTTGTTGTTGTTGTTGTTGTTGTTGTTGTACTTTATCTGAAAAATACTTATCAACATGAGACAACAGAAAAGCACAAACATTGAATTGGAATTCATAAAAAGAGAAATAATGAAAAAATGTCAATCATAAATAGTTTGCAGAATGACAACAATGCTACTTGAGCTTCGACATTGAAAACATGCCGATTTATTATAATTTTGCATTAGAACTTTTAAATATACACTTTCAGCATGTTTAAATGATTCTCTGCAATGGGAAATCGCATTATCAGTTACATACAATAAACTCTAATTTTATGATAGCATAGTGAAAGAAGACCGATTTTAAAATCATGTCACTCACATGGTGTCCAAATCATTGTTTGTGGGACTCATCAAATTAGGTTGTTTAAAACTAGTAAGTAAGTAATAAGTAGTAATAAGTAATAAGGCACTTTCAGGAACCTTTTAAACCTTTTAAAAACAAAACAAAAACAACTATTTGTGACATTATCTTTCCCACAGTTGACATTGGACTGGAATTTGAAGGTGAGTAAGATCCTACATGAATCATTCAGATGTCCTATGGTTCAATATGATAAAGTGATCATGAAGAGTTTGTCTATAAACTGAAATATTGTTCTCTTTGTATTTTCTCATTTTATCCTGCTCTATCTTGGTTGGGATTATGTAGGACCTGTTTCAAATCAAATCAAATTAAGTTTTATTTATATAGCACATTTTAAAAACGATTTACAGCCAAAGTGCTGTACATATAATAAGTACCTCACAGTAAGGACACTATACAGTAAATACAACAGCACAGTTTGTGCAGAATATCAGTATGAGAAAACGACACCCTCTGTCCTTAGACGCTCACATCGTACAAGGAAAAACTTCCGGAGAAAAAACCCACAGTTTAAAGGGAAAAATGGGAGAAACCTCAGGGAGAGCAACAGAGGAGGGATCCCTCTCCCAGGAGGACGGTCAGACGTGCAATAGATGCCGTGTGTAAATCGAAAAGATAATACATTTTACAGCGTAGGTAGACCGAATGTTAGGAAATGCATGTGTTTGTCATGTCTTGTTGTTCTTTTACTTCTCTGAGTATAGCTTTACTGTAAACACCAATTTTTCTTTACTTCTAGTTATCATTGCCGTTTGACCCTCTACCATGACCTGTGTCTCCTATTATCTCAGGATCATAACTCCTGCATAAAAACTTGTCAGTGACAGCGAAAAAGAGATAGTTGACTCAGTAGAGAATAATACAAAAATACTACAAAGACTGCTGCACAGAGAGAAAGACAGTGACACCAAGTGTCAATGATTTGATCAAGTTGTAAGTGTTATACATACGGTCAAATAGAAAAAAATCCCAGGATGGCAATGCTTATTGCAACTTGGAAACATTGCGTGTATGTTTTTTCTACAGGTCTGGAGGATGAAGTTGATACTTTTCAAGAGGAACATGAGAGAGAAAGACACAGAGGAAAAAGAAGGGATGGTGAAAGAGCAAAAAAGAAGAAGAGGGGAAATGGTGAGGGGAGAAAAAGAGCTTCGAGAGCGGGACGAGAGGAAGAAAAATTACAGGCCAGGCGTGAGAAAAAGGGTAGGAGAAAGAAATCAAGCAGTGATCAAGAAGCTGAAGGGAGAGAGGGGGATGAGGCGGACCAGCCAACAACGAAAAGCAGTAAGGCAGCAAAAACAAGGAAGAATGTAAAAAATGAAAAAACAAGAAAAGTGGAGAAAGAGGAAAAGGAGGACGAGGCAGATGATGAAGAGAGAAACAGAAAGAGAAAAAAGAAACATGGAAGTAACAAAAAAGAAGAGAATGTAGAGGATGGCAATACAGTGAAGGAGAAAGCAGGGGAAGTGAAGAAGAAAAAGCACAAGAAAGTAGTGGAAACAAGGTAAAGTCATATTTAAAAAACTCACAATTCAAATCTGCAATTATCTCCTCAGGAAAACGGTCAATGCATGTACACAATAGAGATGCAAAGACATGTAACACACTACTGTTCTGTACCTCAGTTCAGAGAAGGAGACAAGTGAGGAAGAGGACAACGAAGAAGAGGACAGTGAGGAGAAAGAGGTGAGGCCAGAGACTCTGACTCCTGAGGAGCTGGAGATGCTGAAGGAGGCCGTGGACGAGAGGAAGAAATTGATCCAGGGCCTGAGGGGAAAACCCTGGGCAATGAAAAAGAAACTTGTGACCTTACGGTAAATTCACTCGACAGATTTCTATGAAGCTAATCCCCTGAGTTCTTAGGATCAGCTGTATTACAACATGGCCGTGATTCTCTTTGAAATCTTCTTCTCCCTTGAAGGGAGTCTCAGGAGTTCGTGGACAAATATGAGGGAGCTTTGGGGAAAGGGAAAGGCAGAAAGCTTTATGCGTACAAGGTCATGATGACCAAGGTAAGTCATACAATCAGTATCGATTTGCATGAATATCAAAATGATTACACTGACTGGATGATGCTTTTTAATGTGTTATATTTCCTTTGAAGAAATGGATGAAGTTTAAACGGGACTTTGAAAACTTCAAAACTGCTTGTATTCCATGGGAGATGAAAATCAAGGAAATTGAAAGTAAGTTTGGTTTATTGGTCAGAATGTTTTTCCACTTCATTACTCTAACTTTATGTTATATTATTCGAGACTTCAAAGTGACTTTCCAAGAAGAATCACATATCTTATACTGTATATTTCCCAGAGCCCCATCTTCCCTGCTTTCCGAAAAATAATTATGGTGTAACCTCATATTTATTCCCTCTGCCTCTCAGGTCATTTTGGCTCCTCAGTTGCCTCTTACTTTATCTTCCTGAGGTGGATGTATGGCATCAACATGATCTTGTTTTGTCTGACCTTTGGCCTGGTTATGGTGCCAGAGGTAATGTACATGGCTCTTTTTCATCACAACTTCCTGATATTGTGTCTGTAGTTTTGCTCTAATCTTTTTTTCTAAAAGGCATTAATGGGACGGCCCTATGGCACCATCCCAAGAAAGACTGTCCCCCGTGCAGAGGCGCCCAGTGCCATGGACTTCGCTGTTTTATGGGACTTTGGAGTCAGTTAATGCAACACTCACCTCAATCTCTTGAATTAGCATTGTTCTGTTTAAGTCAGTTTTGTCAAATTGAGATGCATTATTTGTTGCACCTTCCTTAAGTTATAATTTGCGTCCACTCCGCAGGGTTACGCTCAGTATTCAGTCCTCTTCTACGGTTACTACAACAACCAGCGTGCCATTGGCTGGTTGAAGTTTCGTATGCCTCTGTCATACTTCCTGGTTGGTGTTGGAACAGTGGCCTATAGCTACATGGTGGTCATAAGAACGTAGGTTTGTTATGACGACATACAATTGATTTAACTTCTTGAGCACAATGTAATACTGAATATTCAATTATTATTTTATAGGATGGCCCGTAATGCAAACGAGTCAGGGGTCGGAGATGACAACAGCTTTAATTTCAGCTGGAAGATGTTCACCAGCTGGGACTACCTGATAGGAAACCCTGAGACTGCAGACAATAAGTTTGCTTCCATCACCACCATTTTCAAGGTCAGTGCAGCCGATCCAGTGAAACCATTTATTTCTAATTCTTCTTCTTCTATATCTTGCATATGCCACATCTACCCATGCCATGTAGGAGGCTATCTTAGAGGAGCAGGAGAGCCGAAAGGACGACAACATCCATCTGACTCGATTTCTGCGTGTTCTGGCCAACTTCCTGGTCTTGTGCTGCTTGGCAGGAAGTGGATACCTGATCTACTTTGTGGTGCGCCGCTCGCAGAAGTTCGCCCTTGACGGACTGGAGAATCACACCTGGTGGGAAAGGAATGAGGTAGCCATGAGCAGTGGCGACTGGTCATTAGGGGCAGGTGGGGCACAGCCCCACCTAGTGTCAGCAGAAAGTATTAAAAGTAATGATTACAAAAAAATGCAAAAAATAAATTAAAAAATATATAAAATATATTTTAAGATCATGTTTAATCATCTGATTCGTCTGTACATTGCTGTTTTAGTCTGTGTTCTTCTAATTAGTGTCTACAGTGTGTGCCTATTGAGCTGTTTTAAGCCATGTGGGACAAAACCCGATCCTGCCCCTCCCTCTCCCTGTTTAAGTCAATGGTGATTGTAAAAACTACACTGCGCATGCTCAGAGTATTGTCCTATTTAATGTGTGTGGCAAAAAAATAATGACCATAGGGGCATAGAGCTGCCATCCCCACCATACGTCATCTCACATCATTCAGAGCTGATTGGCTGTAAGTACGTGTGCCGCGAAAAGTGTGGTGTGTGAAGAGGAGACGAGAGAGCTGCAGTGAGGCGTCCTACAACCAGGAAGTAAACTGCGCATGGCTTCCCTCGACAAAAAAGCAATGATATTTCTCCATAGGATTTTAGAAAATAGCTCAAAATAAGATCTGTGGGAAACAAACCTGTTAGATAAATGCACGTTTTGTTCAGCCGGATAATATCCACATGTCTACCCTACTTTTATAATTTTCGAATCATAAATCTATTGATTAGATTTATGATAGACTTTTGAAACTACAATAACATAAGGAGGACTTTTACAAAAAAGTAATAGAGATGTTTGTCCAGAAGGATAGGCAAATGGACTTCATCTTCATGTCAAGGTAAGACTGCAATTTGATTGAAAATGGGATCTTACTGAGAGAGAACAATTCAATATTTAAATGATACAATTACATTTGTTGGGTATCCTTCTGTTGAACTGTCTGTTTAAAATTAATTGAAGCATCAGACAAAAAAAGCTTTTGAAAATAATATGATATTTTGATTTAGGTCAGAATATAATATTTGTAAACCTGAAGAGTCAGAGCCTCAGCAGCCATGAACCTCACTGCAGAAGCTTATATATAGACATCTAAGTTTTTTGTGCCCCACCACTTTTGTACATATAAAAACGCCACTGGCCATGAGAGAAGCAATCTGAATAAATATAGAGAAATATGTTAATACTAGGCAAGTTCAGTATACATATTTGTGTGGTCTATCGTTTTGAAGCCATTTAAAAAGATTTGGCCTCAAGTCTTTATTTTGACATTGTTATGCAAATAAAATCTACGGAAGCCCTGAGAGGCAGGTGTTTTTTTTGTAAGTGTGCTTTAAATTATGTTATCCTGTTTTATGTCCTAAAAACAGGTTGAGGGGGGTTTTGCTAGGATAATATTTCCAAGTTAATTCATTAAAAAAGTATTTTAAACTAGTCAAAAAAACAGAAAACAACCTTTACATATTTTTCACTATCTGGGACAGGACTATCAGATGAAATAAATAAAATAGTAGCATAGAAAGAGTAACAAAACACCTTTTTCAACTGTTCTTAAGTTATAAAGACAGGCTTTTTTGATTTGCAAATGTAATCTCAAATCATTTTACCTGCCTCTCAGGGCTTCCATAAAATGTACACCTGTGACTAGAACATTTGAATTATTATAATTGTTTTGTTTTTCTCAGGTGAACATGGTCATGTCATTGCTGGGGATGTTCTGCCCCATGCTGTTTGACGTCATCAGCGCCCTGGAGAACTACCACCCTCGGGTCGCCCTGCAGTGGCAGCTCGGTCGCATCTTTGCCCTCTTCTTGGGAAATCTGTACACCTTCATCATCGCACTCATGGATGAAATCAACCTCAAAGTGAGAAATAGAGCATGAACACATGGGAGATAGTTTATAATTCTATAACAAGCGTAACCTGTGATGTGAATATGTGCTGCAGAGGGAAGAGGAAAATATAGTCAAGTTTAATATAACCACGTGGGAAGCCAGTCACTACAATATCTCAGCATCAGAAAACAGCACATCTCCACCCGTCACCATCCAGCCGGCGGATGTCCCCAGAGGGCCCTGCTGGGAGACCATGGTGGGCCAGGTCAGTGTGAATGTGTGTGTAGATTATCATGTAATGGTGTGACGGGATTTAAGAGCATACATTTAAGATACGCAATGTGACCAACATTAAATACAAATATAGGACATAGTGAAATAACCATATGAATTAAATCAAACAAAATGTGTAATATAACAAATTAATGGCTAAATGTTTTAATAGAATACATTATTATACTCAGCTCAGGATTGTAACATTTTATATTTACTTTCACAAATCAAGCAGAAACACTAAAGGTATCAATGAGTAGATAGCCATTTTTAGACATTTTGTTTCAAGATTGAATTCACCAATGAAAAAATTAAAAAAGAGAATTGCTAAAATCACAATCTGATACTTTTAGAAATATTTACTGAAAAGTAAGACAAATAAAAACTTCCTACAAATTAAGATTGGCAATAACATTGTTGTGCATGTTGTGTAGGACATATCATTAATTTAAATATGTATACACAATAAACATGCATGTTAAATATATAGACGTATACTCAGTTATAAAGTGGTAAACAAAAAAGATCAACCAATGAGGATGACAGTATTATTTATTTTGAACTTCCCATAGCATTATACTTATACTTTGTACATTATTTACATTTATTATGTTATATTATTGTTTCATCCTTTGCAGGAGTTTGTCCGGCTGATCATATCTGATACGATGACGACCTACATCACGCTGCTGATCGGCGACTTCCTGAGAGCTGTGCTTGTTCGTTTTCTCAACTACTGCTGGTGCTGGGACCTTGAGGCAGGATTTGTGAGTCATAACAGTCACTATGCCTCTGAATTTATGCAATCTTTACATTTGATTATATACAAAAACCTGGGCCTTTTTCCTAGAGGTGATATATAAGTGTATATTTGAAACGATGAGTCACGGTACTGTTTTGGTTGTTGTTTGTGAAAGCCATCCTACTCTGAGTTTGATGTCAGTGGGAATGTACTGGGCCTGATCTTCAATCAGGGAATGATATGGTGAGAAAACGACATTAGTTTTATTTAAATCTTTAGATGGATAGCATGTTCAGTCTGTCCTTTGGGTTTTGCCTTATCTTTCCTCCAGGATGGGGGCTTTCTATGCCCCTTGCCTGCCCGCCCTGAACCTCCTCCGGCTCCACGTGTCCATGTACCTGCAGTGCTGGGCCGTGATGTGCTGTAATGTGCCGCAGGAAAGGGTCTTCAAGGCCTCGGGCTCCAACAACTTCTACATGGCCATGTTGCTGGTCATCCTCTTCCTATCCACTCTGCCTGCCATCTACACCATCGTCACCATCCCCCCTTCCTTTGACTGTGGACCCTTCAGGTAATGATGTTTGTTTTAAGGATTTACAATTTAATTACTTTACGTTCTGTCCTGGTCATTTTCTCTCTCCATAGTGGGAAGAAACGTATGTTTGATGTGATCCAGGAGACTCTTGAGTCGGACTTCCCCGCCTGGTTCAGTAAAGTCTTCAGCTCTGCCTCGAACCCTGGACTGGTGCTACCCTTCATATTGCTCATGGTGTGAGTCAGACTGCATTTAAATATATTGTTTTGCACAGCTTAATTAAAATATATTTAATGACCATTTTTACATCATTTTCATTCTTAAATTGCAGTTTAAGGCTCTTTGATGTTTACAATCTGTTATTTTATCTTTCAGACTGGCTATTTATTACTTACAGTCCACATCTAAAAGCTACAAAGAAGCTAATGTTGACCTGAAGAAAAAACTACAGACGGTAAACCAAGACTAGAGTTTGTGTTTTCTTCTCATCCAGCACTTGTTCTCTAGCACTGTATCCACCTTTAGAAATCCTGGAAAGAATAAAGTTTGAATTTGAAATTTCAGATGAATAACACTAAGGTGGAGATGGTGGAAAGTTGAAGAAATGTTTATGAACAAACAAGACATGGAGTATGTGACAATGTTATCCAACACTCTAAATAAAGAGAGAAAACTCAATTTTAGGCAAGTAAATGTAACAAATGAACAGGAACTTGCACATTTGTTATTTGTTTACCTTCAAGAAAATATTTAGCTGCTTCAAAACTTCTTTACAGTATGTAGATGCACCAACAGGTCACATGAGGGCACCGATTCCACACCAGTTGTGTTAATATCATCACTCCAGCAGAGAGCAGCAGAGTAACAGCTCAGATCTGTTACAGAGTATCATCAGCAGCTGAATAAGTGATCTCTGAAGTTCTCTGTGTGGATGTTGTTCTCTGAGTGAGATTAATATGCTTTCTTTAGTCAGTCTTACAAATTGCTTTATGTCTCATTCAAGCAAAATGAGGAGAACAAGAAGAAAAACAAACTAGCAGCGTTAAAGGCCCAGATGGATTTAGAAGAGGCTCGAAAAGCGGCATCACCTTCTGCAGAGCATCAAAAGAACAACAACGCTTCACCAGACCAAGAAGGTGGTACTTGAAATGAAGCAGATGATTTCTAATGTAAACAATAAGTACATTTGTGAACTTGAATTCAAATATGAACTTTTAATCTATGGAGGCCTGACACTGTCACGAAGAACACAAGGCTTTTACAAGTCAGAAAAATAACTGAATAAATAATTAAAATGTGAGTTCAAAGAAAAATAAAGCTTTATACTTTTACTTTAACATACGAACAAGCACACACGTTGTATTCTTTACCACAAATCAGCCAATATATGTTAATAACTTTCTTTCTTTACACACATTAAATCATTTATCTAGTTATTTCATATATTCCCATTACCAGCCAAATGTGTTGTACGCTTTACAGTTGTTTGCCCCCCCCTTCTCCTTTAGCAGATGAGGAAGAAGACCGTGGCAGAAGTCAGAGGATGTATCATAGTAAAAATGGACGAAGCCCTCCTCCTCATCGCCATTACGGCCAACTTCCTGCCACCAGAGCCCCTGTACCCAGGAACTATCCCCATGGTAACCAGGGGTCTGCTGGCTACCTGCCGAGTTTCCCTCGGGAAAATGAAGCCAGGATGCACAGGGTGCCGAGTCTGCAGAGACACTGAGGGAGTGAAGAAAAAAACAGCATGTCACTCAAAACTATGCACTTTATTGAGAATTTTGAATAATTATATGTTAGTCTGTTAGTCCTTAATATAAGTGTTTTTAAAACTGCATTTATGATAAAAGAACCTGAAAGCAGTGCAAATGACAAGTGTAATTGTTTATTTGTTCACTGTATAAACTCTAACAATACAAGATTCTCATTTTCTTTACATTTAATTGTTTTAGTTCCAACATTTCCCTAATATTTTCAAAGCATTGATCACTAAGTTTGCAAGCTAAATCTGTTTTAAATTTGAAATGTATTAGTAATACTCCTTCGATTTAATAATCTAATATATATATTTCAAGTCACTATCTATCACAAAAAGAGGTAACACAATGGGGATTGAGCCTGATAAAAGCCCTTAAACTTAAGGCTGCCAAAGAGAGGAGAAAACAGAATTAATATTAACTTTATTTCACAATAAAAAAGGATAACTTCACATTGCCTTGTAATTTTTCATTCAATTAAATCTCAAGGCTGTAAATTAGTGAGCACTAGAGGGATTCGGAACATATATTATTTTCTTCTCTGCTACAACATAGATTTGATCACATGTATAACCTTACTTTAACTTGTTGCTATTAGTCTTAGTTGATCATTCACTTTCCTAAAAAATAGTTATTTTGATAAACAATTGTTTTAAAACCGAATTCACGCATATATTTTTCTCTTGGCCCCTCACACTGAGACTCTGAGCGCAGCTGTCCCTGGACCTGTGACTGGGCCAAAGCATTAAACAATTCATTAGACATGGAGGCCATTTAACCTTAGCTAGCCTGGCTTAAATGGATCTCTTGCTCATCTCTGGCTGGACACTACACACTCAACTTAAACCTGTTTTTCAGCTGTACGATACAAGTGAGGCTAAAACTGTAAATCACACATAAGAGAGTCAGATTATGTATTTTTCGGATATTAAAAACACAAATGTAGTCTTTGCCAACATTCAGATTTGAGCTGTCAGTCTTGTAATTGTTGTTCCTGACCTCCATCACGTAGCATGGATACTCGTATCATCTGATAACTGCGTTGCCATTTCCAGTGTCCTGTCAATCAGCCCGTCATCAAGCAGTCCTGTCAGGCAGATGTAAAGTGATGGTGTCGTCTCATTAGTTTAACTTTATTACCATGAAATTCAATATATTGTTGGTTATTCAAAGACATGAAATGTAATATCTGAGTGTTGAAAGGCTTGTCAATGAGGAATAAGTGTTGTGTCTAAATCATTCAAGACAACAACTCAACATGCTCATAGCGTCACTGACTGAATTACAGTGCCAATCAAATCCACTTCCATTGATGCTCATGATCAATTCATGGTAAGTAAGCATTAAGAATTAATTCTGCAGTTATATGAGAACTTGAGGATGGAGTAGGCCTATGCTTTATTCACTTATCATAGGCCAAGATTTGTCAATTTAATTATTTAATAAAGACTCAAGGAAGACTGAATAAATGATATTGAGATTATCTGCATCCCTTATATTTATTCTGGTAATAACAGCCCCCTAATGCTCAGGGTCCCCCTCCTTCTGCTGCTGATGTGTTTTGGCTCCGTCCCAGTTCCCCTCCATGCTGGTACACTGTAGAAATCCGAGCCCTGATGGGTTGCACATTACCGGATATCTCAATGTCTGGTGTGCCATGATGGGTATATATTTGATTAACTAATGGTGAGGGTAGGAGCAAGTTATTGCAGCACTACAAGCACTGATTTGACTGCTGGTACAGTGTCCTATTTATCATTTGGAGAGCAGAGAGTTTCAACTTGGTGCGAAGCTTATTTAATGTATCTTTAATATATATGCATCTTGACCTTCTGTAAGATTAATTATAGTATGTTGAGAAAAGGGATGGGGAGGAATACTGAATGTTTGTAGTAAAGGGAGGAGACAATCAAGGGGAGGAGCGACAAAAGCTACAACACTGAGGGATTAGTTTTTCTTTCAGGAACAAACTCAAGCCAGCATTCATACAACCCCAGGAAGTCTGTTGCTCTCTGTGTCGGCAGCCGGGCGTCTCCGGTTTCCTCCTGTATTATTCAAAAGGTCAGATCTGACGTTTGACCATAACAGGTAGTAGTGGCTGCATCTCAGTGGTTGGAATACACTGCTTGAACATGAACTTAAATCATTATCCAGCATTTTGTAATGTTTACATAATGATCTGTTTATGAAAGGATATGCCACACAGTGATAAGTCACTCCTGAAACTATGGCAAACTGGATCTTTTATATGGCCAATAAGAGGCTTTAGCAGTCAAACAAAAATTGTATTTTACAAAGCCATATTCAGTCTTTTTGTACAAAGTGTTTCCTTGTTGAGCTACAGTGAAAATATATTTACACCAACAACAAAAAAAGACTATGAGTTGTAAAACACCCTCTACTAACTGAGACTGCAAAGAGCCCACTTTAGCTGAACTTTGGACAAAACAACCAATTAGGTCTTTCGATTTATACATGGGCTTGTGAGAATTGTTTTGAGATAAACTTTAAAAAATGTTAACCTATCCTTTAATCAATGGTTTGTAAAACTGACTGATTTTTTCATTAAATAAAGCTCTGTTATTGCAGTTACATGTTCACTGAGTAACTATTGTTTGTTTACTTGTAGCACACTCCCTCAGAGAAGTCTTACAGTATTTAAGTAGAGTGACTTGTTTCACTTTTCACTCAGGATTACTTAAGCATTCATTTCACTTTAATGAGAGCTGATCATCATGTCAACAATTGCTGTGGTGTCTCATTTCTGGGTCACAGATGATGCCGATGATGACCTTCTTTTTTCTGTGTCAAAGTCTTGTGTGATCCCACAAATGATATTACAACTTTACAAATTGTTAGCCATTATCCAATTTAAATAAACTTGAGAAGGTGGATTGTGTCCAAGCTCTTGTACAAGTCAAATATCAATTTTCATTTTGATCGACAAGTCCATTGTGTGATCCTGTTTTCTCTCGGGCTCCTTGTTATAATAACCTGTGTTGTCTGTGGCGGTCGTCAAGGAGGCTCAGCAGAGGAACACCTGTTTCTGTGTGTGTATGTGTGTGTGTGTGTGTGTGTGTGTGTGTGTGTGTGTGTGTGTGTGTGTGTGTGTGTGTGTGTGTGTGTGTGTGTGTGTGTGTGTGTGTGTGTGAGAGTGTGTGTGTGTGTGTGTGTGTGTGTGTGTGTGTGTGTGTGTGAGGGTGTGTATCCTGGCATTTTGTCGCAGCACCATCACAAGTGTTACAGCTCCTTTAAACTCATGGAAGGAGAGGAAGCAAAAGTGAACAGACGAGGACTAACTAAAGGGAATAACTAAAAGAGACACAGCAAAATGCCTCCAAAGAGGAAAAACCATTCTGCCATTCGGGTTGAAGAAGGTGAGAAGATTTGTTTCATGATATCTTGATAAAAGTAACAGTTTTTTTTATTGTTTCTAACAATCACTCTTCAGCTCTAACTATTTACTTTTTGACTACATTGATAATCACTGAGTAAACTTAATTATTTGGGGTTATGAAAGTGTTGGACAGTAACTACATTTAATTAAGTACAATTTGGATGTACCTAGCTTGACAATTTATATTTTGTGCTACTTTAAACTTCTGCTCTACAACAATTAAGAGGCAATGTCTTAAAAGGCATGTTTTTGTTTGGGTTGAGATGTTTCCTCTTCATTTGTGCTTTTTGTTCTATATGTTCCCAGTTGGGATGGAGGTTGATGCTGTATCAGACAGTGGAAGTGAAGGTGAGTTTGTTTGCTTTTCATCAGAGAAACAATTCAATGGAGAATAATTTGACCATGTCATGATCTTTTTCAAAAATATTATGAACAAATAAGCATAAATACCACTGTGTTTTCCCTATTTTTCCTCTCTTGTCCAAGATTAGTTGCAACTTTAAAACATTCCTCTTTAATAGAGACTTAATAAAACAATTTCAGATGATCTTTTTGCACCTCCTCCTTTGAACACTTTGTACTATTGATGAGCTACAATTAAATTATAGTATTATTATTACCTGGTGTCATGTTGGATGAATTTTCAGCTTATTTCAGTTTACTTATAATGTGCATGTTTTTTACTCAGACGATGCCAGGAGGAGAGCTCAAAACAGAAGAGCCAAACCACAACGTAAAGCCAAAAAGGTCAGCGACGATGACGAGGATGACGAAGATGAGGCACCAAGGAAGAAAGGACGAAGGAAGAAGACCAAGCCACAGGACAGCGATGAAGACGACGAGGAAGACAAGCAGAATGTGAAAAGAAAAACTTCAAAAGCTTCCAGGAAGAAAGCTAAGGAGGAGAGCGACGAGGGGAGCGAAGAAGACAAAAAGAAAAGAAGAAAGCAAGGGACAGCCGGGTCCAAAAAGGATAAAGAGGAGCAGAACAAGGAGAAGGGGAATGTTAAAGGGAAACAAGGGAAGGATAAAGGTGGGGAGAAGGACGGGAAAAAGAAGAATGGGAAGATAAGCAGGTGCAGTATTCTCTGACCTCCCTGCACTCTTCACACACCCGGAAGGGTTTTTTCATTCAGAGGCATTCCCTTAATTCATGCCATTAAAGGGGCCCTATTGTGCTCATTTTCAAGTTCATAGTTGTATTGTGTGCTTCTACTGTGACCTGTTTACACGCTTCAATGTTCAAAAAGGTATTTATGTTTCTCATACTGTCTGTGATGCAGCACCTCTTTTCACCCTCTGTCTGAAACCAGAGCCCAGTCGGCTCTTACATAGTGATGTCACTAAGTTACTAAGTAAATGAGTCCAATGGAGGTGTTTCAGGCAGGGGGGGATTTTGTGGGAGAGAAACTCCCTCTGGATGGAACCTTGGGATTTTAGCCTTTGCAGACCGTTAACATGCACAGAAACCTATATATAACACACCAAGGGAAAGATAAAAACCCCAAAAGGCATAATAGAGCCCCTTTAAGAGGTTATAGTTAGTTTTCAATGTAGCATATTAGCAGTCATGTACTGTTCATGTACTGAGAACAGTTTAATATTGGCTTGTTAAAGGCTTAATTCCGTTTTTGATGAACAAGTCGGCATGTTACAGATTTTTGGCTGCTACGATGGATGGTGTAATCTAATTTCTTCATCCATAATTTACTGCTGCCTTAATATAAAGGCAACAGGACAAAACATCCTGAGACATCAGATCTCCCTACTGTTTTATTGGCTGGGAGTTGGCTGCATTTTTAAATGCAGCTTACATCCAGCTCTGACTATCCAGTCCCAATAAGGAACACGTTTTACATTTTTGTAGCAACATTTTGAATCCATACGGTGACTCTGCTAAAAACATATTTGATATCATAACTTCATTTTTGTAGAAATAAAACAAACAAACAAGTGCAGCATAAAAGGTAAAAAATAACTGATAGAATAACTGTCAACATTTGAAATGTTTGTCATGAAGAAAAACATTTCAAATGTGCCGTGTCCATGACCATTACTGTAGACCAAATCTAACCTCCAGTATTCACACATTTTTACACAAGTGTGACGATGACAATCGGTGCCACTCCAAGCTTTGCACTGAAAAGTTGACAACATTTTAACTTTGAAAACACAGCAAAAGAGAGGAGCTCACACCAGACGAGCCACTATAGGAAAACAATGGATTTCCTTGTGAAGCCTTATTGTGACCCAAACCATTGGACACATTTTTACAACAACCTCATGATGGTGCCAGATGAAAAGAGAATTTCCTTGAGAATTAAATGTATTACAACTTTATAGTATAAGTCTTGGATACCCATGGTATTGAAAGACTAAGGTATAAACTTGCCTGATCTCGAATTGAAAAATGTTCTCTTACAAATGTGATGTCAAGACAATGGGTGCAAAACTGAATACTGACTTCAAACTGTAGTCTGAAATACTGTAGCCCAAAAAGTGATTTACAATGCAAGAAACACAACACCATCACAGGTTAAGATGTCAAAGCCATGGCATGTGACAGCTCTTTTCCCTTTATCAGCTCTTCTTCCTCCTCCTCCTCCTCTGGTTCTGATGAAGAGTCACTGTCGGAGGGAGAGATGGAAGCCCTGAAGGAACAGGTGGAGGAGAAGAAGAAACTGATCGCTACGTTAAGAAACAAACCCTGGCGCATGAAGAGGAGACTCGTACTGCTCAAGTAAAAACCAAAACACAAAACTCACATCCTCTGCCTGTCCACTTGTGGTTGCTGTTGCATTTTTTTTTTCATATATTTTTTGTTCTTGTTTGAATTTTTTCTTACACCCACTTCCCTAAATGCCATCACTCATGTCATGTACATGTGATGTTGATCATTGGTTATTAAAACATGTTATTCTCTCACTAAGCTGTTTTGTACTTCTCTTTATCAGTGCTGTGATCTATGAAAAGTCAAAACGAACTACTAAAAGTCAGAGCATGTTTCCTATGATCCCATTTTGTTATATTGCATATCAAAGTTATTATTCGGTAAATAAGTAAACGGGACAATAACTTGCTTATCACTCAAATAAAAAATTTCTTAGACAAGAATGTTTTGGTTTGCCAGATTAATCTTATTTTATCTGATATATTAAATTCTGCTCAAAGATAAAAGCTCTTAATGATTAGATCCAGATATTTATCCATCCACACACACAATCTTATGCCATCATGGACATTCTCTCACATGAGACATAAGGACAGTCTGTAAATCTCAGGTAAACACGCAGCAGCAGCAAACACTACGCTGGGTGTAATTCAGCCTGTTACACATCTTCCTCTAAGTGTGAGAAGAGGTTACACTGCTGGGCCAGGGCCAATGTAGGTTAGTGTGCACATGTACATTGCTCTATGTAAAGATCAGTGTAAGCAAGACAACCCGATAGGTGGACTGCCTTAAATTGTTAATGAGCTTGACACTGTTTAATGCATGTTGTTGTGGCTAACTCACCTGCTGCTTGCCAACTCTTCCTCCTGATGCTCTCACCATATGAATTGCACCATCAATCATCATTGGTTTTCCTGTGTTCCCTTTAGCCAATGACTAATTCAGTCCTTGGTTGAATAGATCATGTTTTTCAGTTGGAGGTTGCTCACTTTATTTCATTGGTGTTTATATTTCCTGACAGGGAAGCTCAGGAGTTTGTTGAAAAATTTGAAGGAGCTCTCGGGAAAGGAAAAGGCAGGAAGCTGTATGCGTACAAAGTCATGATGGCCAAGGTAATCTGCTCATTGTGCAACATTCAAAGAACAACAACAACTTTATAACGAGGATGATATTATGGAATTAACTATTTGAAACCTTTTTATTTTATTTCAGAAACTAATCAAATGTAAACGTGACTTTGAGAACTTCAAAACAGCCTGTATACCCTGGGAGCGAAAGATAAAGGAAGTAGAAAGTAAGTACCACTTTGGCATAGTTGGAAAAAAGGATCTTACTGTGTCTAATATAACTATATTGCAAAGTCAAGTTCTCTGTCTCCCATATCATAGGTCACTTCGGGTCATCAGTGGCCTCCTACTTTATTTTCCTGAGGTGGATGTATGGTCTGAATATGGTCCTGTTTGGGCTCATGTTTGGCCTGGTGGTGCTGCCTGAGGTACATCCTTTTTCCTAGTAAACGTTATCAGGTGGTTCTTGATGCAGCAGACATTGTTCACGTTTTCAGCTTTCCTTTCTCACCTCCATGCATTTCCTCTGTTTAGATTCTTATGGGTCTTCCCTATGGCTCAATTCCCAGGAAAACTGTGCCCCGTGAAGAGCAGGAAACAGCCATGGACTTCTCTGTGCTCAATGACTTTGGAGTAAGGATCTTAGCTTGGTTGAATTTATTCACAGCATGGCTGGAGACTCAAGGCTGTCTTGATTTGTTCTTAACAAGATGTTTTTGTTTTTTTACTTAATCTTTGTTTAGCCTTGTTCAGAATGTGGGAAAGCCGTTTTCAGGAGTTTTTTTTAATGGTTTTTATGTCATCTTAATTTGGTCTCATTGAGAATAAGACTGTGATGACATCCACCTCATCGTTTGATAAAGAAAACAATGAGAATGAAGTTTGTGATAAAGCAAAGTAATTGGGTTAATGGAACAGTGGGACAATGATTTGTATATATTCAAGGAAAGACATCAAGTGCCTAATAGTTTTACAGATGGAAAAAAACAGACATATCTATTAAGTACTAGAAGTTTGATTTTAAATATTTGTGTTAAATGTTGAATTTGAAACTTGAATGACAGTCTGCTGTTAGTTAAAGTTTTGATGGAAGGAAAGTCAGAATCAATGGTGGAGGTGCAGAATAACCCTAACCCTAACCCATTGGTGATTTCTGCATTTTTATGTAATGATAATTAGAAAGCAAAGCATCAAAGGCAGACTGAAGATGTGACAAGGCCTTAATTAGAATGGAACCTGGGAAATATAAAGCGGTATCATCAATGCAAAGAATATAACATTGAAGTGTTGATTAGAAATGTATGTTATTTATGTATAATGTAAAACGCAATGGACCAAGGATTGACCCCTGTAATGTGTCTGTTTGTATGACTCTTTGAACACTTCAACAGGGATACATCAAGTATTCCTTTTTGTTCTACGGGTACTTCAACAACAATCGAAGGATCGGGCTGCTGCAGTTCAGGCTCCCACTTTCATACCTGCTGGTGGGCGTTGGCATCTTTGGATACAGCCTGATGGTTGTCATAAGAACGTAAGGCAGGACACAAAACAATCAGATGTACCTCAAAGGAAAGAGATGTTTGTTTATTTTCAATATGGGGATTTTAATTTTGCAGGATGGCTCGTAACGCCAATGAAGGAGGGGACGGTGCGGAGGAGGGAGAGTTCACTTTCAGCTGGAAGATGTTCACTAGCTGGGATTACTTGATAGGAAACCCAGAGACTGCAGACAATAAGTACGCCTCCATTACAACCAGCTTCAAGGTTAGCAGGTGTGTGTATGTGTGTGTGTGTGTGTTTGTGTTGGGAGATGCGCATTGCAACATTAGCAAGAAAAACACAAAAATCAAACAATCATACATAAAAAAATCCGTCATGGAAGAACTTGAGATAATTTCCTCACCAACAAAAGTCTTGGCCATTTAGCAATATGTTGTATTTGAAAGATTTTATAGTGACAGGAATATTCAACTATGCAAAAGCCAAAACACTTTTTAGTTTTTATTAATTGAAACTTTGTTGATTTATTTTTGCCCCGTTGTAGGAATCCATTGTGGATGAGCAGGAAAACCAGAAAGATGAGAACATCCATCTCAGACGGTTCCTCAGGGTCCTGGCAAACTTTCTGATCACGTGCAGTCTGGGAGGAAGCGGATACCTCATCTACTTTGTGGTGAAGCGTTCTCAGGACTTTGCTAAAATGGAGAAGGAAAATCTTTCGTGGTTGGAAAAGAACGAGGCAGGTTGACCCTAGATTAGCTTTCTGTCCCCAGAGTCAGAACTAAACATGGTAAAGCAGCGTTCAGTTATCAGTTATTATGCTCCAAATATCTGGAACAAACTCCCAGAAACCTGCAGGTCCGCTGCAACTCTGACTACTTTTAAATCCAGGCTGAAGACTTTTCTTTTTGTCGCTGCTTTTAATTGAAACTGAGCCGTTGTGTTCATCAGTAAAGTGGAACTTCTGTGTGAACTAGTCATATCTTAAACTGCACTGTAACTTTTTATTCATGTACTTTTTATTCATGTATTTTTTCTTTTAATGTTTCTTTTATTATCTTTTCTTTTTAATGACTGTTTTTAAATGCCTTTGTCTGAATGTCTTTCATTTTTGTAAAGCACCTTGAATTGCCTTGTGTTGAAAGGTGCTATATAAATACACTTGCCTTGCCTTGCCTTACCTTAGATATGTGGTTGACCTTTAACCTTCATGATGATTTTACGGATTATCCTTTTGTAAATGACACAAAGAGCTGATTTTGTTGAGGCTTGGAATATGAGATAAGTAACCCCCATCTCTCGTGTAATATATCAGGTGGAGTTTGTGATGTCTCTGCTGGGGCTGGTGTGTCCTCCTCTGTTTGAAACCATCGCAGAATTGGAAGATTATCACCCTCGTATTGCCCTCAAGTGGCAGCTGGGACGAATCTTTGCCCTCTTTCTGGGAAACCTTTACACCTTCCTCTTTGCCCTGTTTGATGAGGTTAATGAAAAGGTATGACAGATTTGCCTTATCACAACTTGATAATATGTTGTTTTCTTCTTTGTAAGTGTAAAAATGCAATTTGCCGTCTTAGGGACAGTTTTTGTTGGACCACATTTTTTTAAGCTTCAAGGAATTATGAGAGTGGTATTGATCTTGTCATCCAACTCTCCAAAAAGTTTAAAGTTATTCCTGAAATATGCAACTATTTCTCTGAATCCAGCAAACTGTGTATCTCTGTGTGTGAATTGTGTGAATTGGTGCCTTTAGTATGCTTTAATGCGTTTTCTATTCTTCAGTTGGAGACAGAGAAGTCCATCAAGAATGCCACTGATTGGGCTTTTGAGCAATACTACACCAACTACAGCTCTCATTACAACACCACAGATGTGCCTCCTCCAAATGTGCACCCAGCGGACGTCATCAGAGGACCCTGCTGGGAGGATGCAGTGGGAATAGTCAGTAGTTGGTTTATATTTTATACTTTGGTCGACAGTGAGATTTTTTTTCAGTTTTCAGCATCATTCCTCTTTTTACATTACATTACATTACATTGCATTTAGCTGACGCTTTTATCCAAAGCGACTTACAATAAGTACATTCGACCAGGAAGACACAACCTTGAAGAAAACAGAATCATATAAGTACATCAGGTTTCATAGAGCCAAACATTTCAGGTGCTACTCAACTGGCTTTAGGTAAGCCAGTCCTTTATTAGTATATAAGTGCTTTGTTAATAGTTCTAACGCTCGAAGTGGAGTCGAAAGAGATGAGTTTTCAGTCTGCGCCGGAAGATGTGCAAGCTATCTGCTGTCCTGATGTCAATGGGGAGCTCATTCCACCATCTTGGAGCCAGGATAGCAAACCCACGTGTTTTTGCTGATGGGAACTTGGATCCCCCTCGCAGCGAGGGTGCAGCGAGTCGTTTGGCTGATGCAGAGCGTAGTGCACGCGCTGGGGTGTACGGTTTAACCATGTCCTGGATGTACGAAGGGCCAGATCCATTCGCAGCATGGTAAGCAAGTACCAGTGTCTTGAAGTGGATTCTAGCAGTTACCGGAAGCCAGTGAAGGGAGCGGAGGAGCGGAGTGGTGTGGGGAAATTTAGGAAGGTTGAAGACCAGACGAGCCGCTGCATTCTGGGTGAGCTGCAGAGGTCGGATGGCACATGCAGGTAGACCAGCCAGGAGGGAGTTGCAGTAGTCTAGGCGTGAGATGACGAGAGCCTGGACCAGAACCTGCGTCGCTTTCTGGGTCAGCTGGGGATGTATCCTCCTGATGTTGTAAAGCGTGTATCTGCAGCAACGGGTTGTTGCAGCGATGTTTGCAGTGAAGGACAGGTTGTTATCTAGGATCACACCCAGATTCCTTGCAGTCTGAGTCGGGGAAACAACTGAGGTGCCGATGTTGATTGTTAGGTCAAGAGTGGGACAATCTTTTCCCGGAAGGAAAAGCAGCTCAGTCTTGTCAAGGTTGAGCTTGAGGTGATGAGCAGACATCCACTGAGAGATGTCAGCTAGACGACCTGGGTCTCTGAGCGGGGAAAGGACAGAATTAATTGGGTGTCGTCAGCGTAGCAGTGGTATGAAAAACCATGCGGGCTAATGACTGATCCGAGCGAGTTTGTGTACAGGGAGAAGAGGAGGGGACCAAGAACAGAGCCCTGAGGGACTCCTGTAGTTAATTGACAAGGGTCGGACTCAGACCCTCTCCAAGTTACCCTGTAGGTACGGTCTTTGAGGTATGAGGTGAGGAGGGAAAGTCCAGAGCCTGAAACTCCAAGTTTTTGGAGAGTGCGAAGGAGGATCTGATGGTTCACCGTGTCGAATGCAGCAGACAGGTCCAACAGGATGACCATCCATTCAATCACACAGTAGAGAACAGTTGTCTAATTTTTCTATTGCTGCTTTTCACATTGCTTTCTGATCCTGTGTAGGGCTTTGTGAAGCTGATCGTGTCGGACATGCAGGTGACATATGTAACCATCTTGATTGGTGACTTTGCGCGAGCTTTCATTGTCCGCTTTCTTAACTACTGCTGGTGCTGGGACCTGGAGGCTGGATTTGTGAGTACCTGTGTTGTGTGTCAGTGTGTACATATGTGAATTTTATTTCAAATATTTAAATGATTGATACATTTACTTTCTTTTTTTTTTACCAACAAACACAACACAGTTTCTTTGTCTTGTGCTTTAAACATATCGTTTTTAAACATATCTGCATTAAAGTGGCTGAATGTTCATTATATGATGGTGAATAACAACGGTTTTAAGTATTTGTTAATGTATCGCTTCCATGTCATTCAGCTATTATTAAACACTGTTTGAGTACAACACAGTTCGTATTGGATCCTTTTCAACTTGATACAATGACATCTGGCAAGACAGCTGATCCCTAACATTCAGTGACACAGGACACTGCAAAGAGAACTTAATTACAGAGAGAGAAACATTGTCACAGAGAGAGGAGAAACATAACAAGTGTGGCTCTTATTAAGTCATGTGAGCTTTCTAATCATGTGGTTGTGTTGATTCCAGCCTTCATATGGAGAGTTTGACATCAGTGGAAATGTGCTGGGGCTGATCTTCAATCAAGGAATGATATGGTGAATTACCCCACGTCTACATGATTGATTTACTATTCTGTCTTTTTCTGTATTATCTAATGGAGCTAATAATTGTGTTTATGTGTTGTCTAAATAATGTTGCTGCTGTTTTCCTAAGGATGGGAGCATTTTACGCTCCAGGGCTGGTGGGTCTGAACGTGTTGCGTCTCCTGTCCTCGATGTACTACCAATGCTGGGCAGTGATGTGCTGTAACGTTCCTCATGAGCGAGTTTTCAAGGCCTCGCGGTCTAACAACTTCTACATGGGCCTGCTGCTGCTTGTGCTTTTCCTCAGTCTGCTGCCTGTTGTCTACACCATCATGACCGTGTCTCCGTCATTTGACTGCGGGCCTTTCAGGTCAGTAAGCGGTGCAGACAGTGGAATTAAAAAACAACATGATATTGAAATGGATATTAAAAAAGCTGGACTGTTGTGATGCTTCATGATGCATTCTTCTGCAGGTCAAAAGTATTTTAGTCAATGAATTAACTAAATGCATCTATCCAACACCATTTAAAACCTATGGAGTCTATTTAACCAAATGCAATGCTTTTTAAATGTTTTATGTATTAGCAGTATGTCTATTGGTCAATTTCAACAACTATCATAAAATGTCATGGTTCCCAAAGTCTTAGTGTGACAGGGTCATATTGTTCACTTTTTGCTGTACTGTGAAAAGGCTTATGCCATCCCCATCGTCCCCATAAACATCAGCTCTACTTTTTGTTAAATTCAAATAAGCTAATATTAGCATGCAAACTAACACGCTAAACATAGATGGTGTGAATGTCATTAGCATTTAGCTGAACATAAATTGCCAGTAACAGCATGTATCTCAAATGTATTACCTATTTTGGTTATGATGATTTAAAGTGGAACTTGATGAACCTTTTATGCATTAGCCTACTATTGGCTTGTGAAAAACTATAAATGTTCACTTTGTTGCAGCCAGAAGTACACTGGTGCAAAAACACAGTTTAGTTTGATTTGCTTTATTTGTAAGGAACAATTCACAACACTCTACCAGAACATGTTTAGAAAGAAAACTTTGTAACATTTGTGACTTGGTTGACATTACCTTTGCTATACCTCAAACCGTGTTCTGTATTTGATCCATATTTTCCCCTAGTGGCCAGGGGAAAATGTACGACGTGATCATGGAGACTATAGAACAGGATCTGCCACCTTTCTTGGCTAACATTTTTACATATGCCACCAACCCTGGACTCATCCTGCCTGCTGTCCTCCTCATGGTGTAAGTATCTCTCACATATCGACTGAAAAATATGTTGTTGTATCTGAAAAAAAAGGCAAATTGAGGTGTTCTGGATAAGAAAGGGATATATATAAAGGCATTGAAAATATTACATTTTATGTTCTGTATTTCAGCTTTTAAAATGTCCCTTAACTACAGAAGTAAATCTGTTATTTGTGTATTTTCATTGCATATTCATAATTCTATAAATCAGATTTATTTTAATGTTTCCATGTGATTATGACATCCTTCTTAGACAATATTGGCAGTGTGTTGTAGCATTCACTCCTGTGTCCTATTGTTTTTTTTCATACTACCACAGGGGGGCACTAATGTCCAAAATGTTAAAATCTCTATATTTTGTGTGTTTACCGTTATCTGTTTTCTTTTGGCTTCAAACATTAACATTTGGAGGGTGTGACCTTAGTTTATTTCCTTGTGTTTAAAGCCTGACTCTGGTCTAAGCTGTTGTGACATTTAACACTATAACTTTAACCTAAGGAACCTTTACCACTGCACAACAGGTTGGCGATCTACTACCTGAATGCAGTGTCAAAGGGATACCAAAATGCAAACCTTGACCTTAAAAAGAAGATGAAAATTGTCAGTATGAGCGTTCTCACCATATTGTTTCCATCTTTTTTGTTATATTTCCTGTGTTCAAGATTCAATAAAAAATGTTTCTGTCTCAATAATCGGTGGACACTTTAGGCCCGAGACGAGGAGAAGAACCGCAGGAACAACAAGGACAGCACTAATGAAGTGATGAAAGACCTGGAAGACCTGCTGCCTAACAAGTCTCTAATACCGCCTCCCGTTGAGGAAGAGCCCCATCCTGGTACACACAATTATCTTTCTTTATGCACATGCCATCAGCCAATTTGCACACGACTTTTCTCACAGCTCTTTTTACTCTCTCAGATGTCATAGTTGATAAAGGCGCCAAGTCTCCCAAAATAAAGCCGGGTGCAGCAGCAAGAGGAGTTAACCTGCAGAAGGACGTGTCCCTGGCTGCCCCTAACCCCAGGGCTCCAGTCACCCGCGCCCCGGGGCCAAGAAGAGGGCCTCCTGGAAATGCTAGGAGTCCCCAACCTGGACCTGGGAGAGGAAGAGGTCGGGGGGGACATCCCAGTCGATAAGAGTCATGTTCAAGGACTAAAATCCAAACGTCTCCTAAAATTCCCCACAGATAACATGTCTGCTAACATGAGCACTGCAGTCAGTCATACTGTACATGGAGGTTGTTTCTGGAACAATCTGATTGTTTTATTCTTATTGATCAACAGAATACATTTATAAATATTCCTTAACTTATTTAAGAGTGGCTTTTTTGCCTTAAAGACAGGCGCTATGACTAGTGTTTTCAAACATGCTGTGTAATTAATATCTTAAAATGTCTATAATTATTTAAATGACACAGCCTACACAGTTAAATCACATAATGTCGGACACAGACATGATCTGTAATTCTAGTTGTACTACAACACATTGGAAAGAAAAAACATGATTGTGTTTACTGCATTGCAAGGTTTACTGGGTCCTTGTAAATCCATGTAAATAGTATGTGAAATGTATTTTTTTATGACACCTATTAAAAGTAATTATTTTCTGGCAAAGTGCTATTTAATTAATTATTTCACTGAATATAAACGGGTTAAAATACACAAAACTGACTACTACAGAGAACATGCTGTTCACTAGCCACAGTTAAATAAATGTAGATACACACTAGAGGAAAATGCATAAACGAATCGCCACAGAAAAGAGACACAAAGTTGAAAAAATAGGTGTATCAGAGGAGAAATTACATTAGTAAATGTTCATGGAGAGACAGAATTGATGATGCCTTCAAAACATCCGGGTGCAATATGATTATTGCACAATGTGTGTGGTGGATGTGAAGCCATGGGGCAGCAGAGAATTCAAATGACATGAGAAATTCAGTCCTTGGAAATGACGCTTTTATGAGTTCTTCTGGGAGATTTTGATGGTGACTGCCTTGACCTCTGTGTACTCCTGAAGAGCATATTCCCCCCTGAAAGAAAACAAAAGACACCACTGATTATGTAAGCAAAATTAAATGAGCAACATTTCCAAGTCATGGTTTGGGCTGAAAAAAGTTTCCTCAACTCTATTTCTTTAGCTAATAGGATAAATGTTTGTTTTTTACAGATAATTCTCCTTAAGTAATGCAATAATTTATCATCAAGATAATGTGTGAAAGGACTTTTAGTAGAAAGAGGTTTATTGGTGATATTAGTGCAATATACTGACCTTATTGTGTGTCCAACATTGGTGAACACACTTATTCAGTCTTATTAGTCAGCTAAATACATGCAATGCAATGAAATATCCACATCTCTGAAGCCAAACTTACACCTTTGAGTACAAGTCATGCAAAAGCTGAGATATAATGGTATTACTCACAGTTCTCTCCCATTCCCGGACATCTTGAAGCCACCAAAGGGACACTGAACACTCATGGCATTGTAGCAATTTACCCTAAAAGAAAGAGTTTCAATTCATTACATAAAATGTGCCATCATTTTACACAAGCCATTAAAATGTCGCAAAATGGAAATACATTATTAAAGTCTAATATTTCTTTAGTTAGGTTTCTTTGAGGGTTTGCACAGCAGATACCCCAGCTCTACTGTTCACCAACTCATGACTGTTAGGTGAATTTAAGAAGATGTTGTCCATACCACACCATGCCAGCCTGCAGAGCAGAAGAGACAGTTAGGGCTTTGTCGATGTCGTTAGTGAACACTCCTGCTGCCAGGCCGTACTGCGTGGCGTTGGCTCTCTGGATAACCTCACGGGTCGTTCGGAAACACATGATCAGCTGCACTGGACCAAAAATCTTAGACGTGCAGGAGGGAAACGTTTTGACAAGAATTAAAAATGTTCTTGCGGAGTACAAAATAAGAACACAGTAGCAGATTGAGGACAGAGATGATCCATTGAGTGTGGTTGTGTGTTTTAGAGCACATTACCTCTTCTTTGGCGATGCGCATGTCGTCTGTGACATTTGAGAAGACAGTGGGTTGGATGAAAAGTCCCTGCTGACCCCATGCAGACCCTCCACACTCCAGCGTGGCTCCCTCCCTCTTCCCGCTTTCTATCAGCTCCATTATCTTATCAAACTGCTTCTGGTCAATCTGCAGAAAACAAAAGCTCTATTCAAATGTTCTCTTTGCACATTAAACGTGCGGTTAAGTGGAAGTGTAGACATTTAAAGAGATACTGTAGCCTAACTTCATGCCGTACCTGTGGTCCGTGGTCAACCCCTGGCAGCAGTGGGTTTCCCAGGACTTTCCCTCTGGCCTTCTCCACACTGCGATGGACAAACTCCTCGTAGATGGGTCCTTCTACGAACACCCTGGATCCAGCCAGACAGCACTGGCCCTGGTTAAAGAACAGGCCACTGTGGGCCTGCTCCACTGCATGCTCTACTGTGAGATAGACATGTGCACATATAAAGGGCTGCAGCTTTTAGATGAAAGTAAAAAGAGTCAAGTCCATTGTGAAGCATCTTGTCCGCATGAACAATGCATTGCAAAATCCAATCCCTGTTATAATCCACTGTGTACTTGATCAGGCCCCTTTAAAAATATGCTTTGTGGGGAACTGCTCAAGCAAACAACAATACACTGTGACTTGACACTGCACCTACTTAGCAAGCTGTACACAGCATGCTGTTTAGCGCTGTGACAGAAACATATTACCAAAGTCCATCAGCAGGCTGACACTATTACTGGACACGCCCTCAAAGCATTTGCAGTTTGGTTAGTTTAGGCACCAAAATAATTGGTAATGTTTAGGAAATCATGGGTATAAATAAGTATGTTGATCCTGTAAATGATCTCAGAGTAAATATATCCTGCAGAGCTCAGTATCAACACTGCATTTCCTTCAGTCTCAGAAATACTGTACACCAGCCAAGTATGAATCCTTCTGAATGTTTTTGAGAAACTCATGTTCCATTTACATATTTAAGTAATCCAGTAATAGTTTCTACTCACAGTCACAGTCAGAAAAGACAATGTTTGGGTTTTTGCCACCCAGTTCTAGGGTGACTCTTTTGAGGTTGCTGTCACCTGCCGCCCTCTGGATCAGTTTCCCAACCTGGCAACCGAGGGCGACAGAGTGAGAATCACAGTGTAATCAAAACACTATAACATAAATTAGTATACATTTGCAGAGATAGATACTTACAGCAGTAGATCCGGTGAAGGCTATTTTGTCGATGTCCATGTGGTGGGAAATGGCGCAGCCTGCTGTCTGTCCATAACCTGGCACCACGTTCACCACTCCTGGAGGAAAACCAGCCTGAACACCGAGAGGCGGAGGGAGAGCCACAATTTTATATTGAATTGAGACATACATCTTAAGCAGTCTTTCTGCTTTTACAGCTGCGTAGGTCTCTGCAATCTATAAATGCAAGTTTATAGCTTTTGTCTACATGTTCTTTGTTCTTGTATCATTGTAGGGGGGAAACAGTGATAATCCAGGTACCTCTTTGATGAGTGCAGCCATGTGTAGGGCTGATAATGGGGTCTGTTCTGCAGGTTTGATGACTACAGTGTTCCCACAGCACAGAGCAGGAGCAATCTTCCAAGCAAACATCATCACAGGGAAATTCCACTGTTGGCAGAAAAACATAAACAATTTAAAGTTGCAACAATTTGTAACATCCATATTTTTTTGTCAGTATAATATATAATCATTAACTGTATTTCTACTCACAGGAATTATCTGGCCACAGACTCCAATGGGCTCATGTCGTGTGTAAGTAAAATATTCTCCATCTACAAAACAATAATGATAGCTTTGAACACCCTGTGAATTTGTTATGTTACAACATGCAATTGACAAACATGGCAGTATGGACACTCACCAATAGGGATAGTTTTTCCGTGAATCTTGTCTGCCCAGCCACCATAATATCTCAAAGTTTTGATTGTGGCCATCAGATCTACAAAATATGCCATGAGAAACACTTTGCCAGAATCCAGAGCCTCTAGTGTCTACAAGTAAAAACACAAAGAAATGTAATTACAAGTGCCAGTTCTCGACTGTAATAACCAGATGATATATCACTCCAAAAAGGAGTAAAGGGGATACATTCAAATTGAGACATTATGTAGTGTGTTCTCACTGCTAGTAGAAGCCGGTCTCTCTCCACTAGGTCAGCGAGTTTGTTGAGTAGTTGACCTCGGTCTGAGGCGTCCATCGATCGCCATGGTGACCCCATCTGAAAGGCGGCTCTGGCACTCCTTACTGCCTCATCCACATCTTCCTACAGGAGATTAAAGGTAAAGAGGTGGTCAGAAAATCTGGTTGATTCCATTCGTATGTCCCAAAACCAAACAATCACACATTTTCCTCAAGGGGTTTTACAATCAGAGCAGCATATGACTCCCTCTGTACTTAAAACCTTGATCAAGATAAGGAAAAACTTTAACACGAATCCGTTAACAGGGAAAATGGATGTATAATACTCACTGTGTCAGCCTCCTCCACTTCACAGAGCAGCGTTCCTGTGGCGGGATTATACACAGGAATCTTTCTCCCACTGCAGGACTCATGCCACTCGTTATTGATGAACAACTATGATATCAGAGAAAAGTTAGAAAATATGAATATGCTTAGATTCTTCAAGTTAATTTTGGTATAAAGAAGTGAAGGTATTCCCCTCTCAGTCTCAGCTCTTTTCAGCCTGACAGAATGAATACAATGCTCTGTGTTTAGTGGGAGTGGTACTGCATGCTCTGATAACTTCGAAGAGATCTGCATGTTTTAAAGCTTGTAGTGTATTTCCAGGTTATTACCTTCAACAGTACACCTTCTTATAGAAGACCAATACATATTATATTGTTAATTTTGTTTCATCTTGTTAAAACCACATATCTATTATTCTGTAAGATGATACACAATATTATTCATTAACTTTTTGAAGTAAACCACAAATACTACATTTTACAAAATTACTGGTACACAATGACATGGGCAAATACAGACCAGATGATACAACTCACAATATATATGCCAGTAGGACTGCTCCCCAAGATACACAATACACGTTAAAACGAAGATATTACATTATTACATTTCATTAGCTGACGCTTTTATCCAA